TTTGGATTGAGTTGGATCAATATCAAAATTTGATGGAGTGCAGCAAGGATACTGCCACCTTGAATACTGTTGTTGAGCGGGATAGGATCTTTGATTTCTTAGCAGGCCTTAATGTTGAATTTGACCCTATTCGGGTGCAGATTTTGAGTAAGGAAAAATTTCCTGATCTTAATAAAGTTTTTTACACTGTTCGTAGTGAGGAGACCCGTCGTCAAGCTATGCTTCATGAACAGCCCCCGGATGTGTCAGCACTAGTAGCTAGCAAAACAACAAGACAAGGACCACCATCATCATCATCTAAGAATGGTCGTGACAAATTCTATTGTGAGCATTGCAACCGATCAGGGCATACAAAGGATAGGTGTTTTAATCTACATGGGAGGGAACAGGTTCTTAGCCGAGGAGGTAGTTCTCGCAACATGCACCAGCATCAGGCACATGTTGCCACACATGCCCATGATACTGAAAGATTTGAAAAAGGGGGAACTGATCTTTCCTCCTTCAGTCAGAATGACGTGGAACGGTTGAAGTCTATGCTTGACTCCATGAGTAAGCCTTCTGGTTCTGGGTCTCTAGCAGTTACTGGTAAGAGTTTGTGTTCCCGATCTTTTACTGTTTGCGGTAATATCCCTAAGAATGTGTGGATTCTTGACTCTGGTGCTACTAATCATATGACATTTGATTCCACATTATTATGCTCTTATACCACACCTTCGAGTATTCCTTATATCACTGTTGTTGATGGCTCTCATGCTTGTGTTGTTGGCACTGGAAATATTGACTTGCAACCTCCATTTCAGTTGCAATATGTGCTTCATGTTCCCACACTTTCCCGCAATTTGATTTCTATCCATAAGCTTACCCGTGATCTAAATTGTAAAGTAATATTTTTTACGTCCCATTGTGTTTTTCAGGACCTTACCACGGGGAAGACGATTGGAATTGCTAAGAAAAAGGAAGGGTTATACTACTTCTCAGATGACCATCCAAAGGTGTTGTCCTCCTGTCTCCAGTCTCAGTCTTCCTCTTCAGCCTCACAAATTTGGCTTCAGCACAAGCGTCTCGGTCACCCTCCATTTTATATAATTAAGTCTATGTTTCCGTCATTGTTCTTAAACCATTCTGTTGAGTCTTTTAAGTGTGATGTTTGTTAGTTGGCAAAACACAATCGTGTAACTTTTCCTTTCAGTTTTAATAAAAGTGTTGAACCTTTTGATGTGATTCATTCTGATGTTTGGGGACCTGCCCCTACCTCTAATATTTTTGGTGCAAAATGGTTTGTTTCATTTATTGATGATTGTACTCGGGTAACTTGGATTTTCTTGATGAATACTAAATCCGAAGTACCACAAATATTTATCCAATTTTATAATATGGTACAAACACAATTTGGGAAATGTATAAAAAGAATTCGTTCTGACAATGGTAAAGAATATGTCAATTATACCTTCTCCAGCTTCACTAGTAAACATGGCATTCTTCATGAATTCACATGTGTTGACACCCCACAACAAAACGGTGTCGCGGAAAGAAAAAATCGTCATTTACTTGAAGTTGCTCGATCTCTCCTTTTTCAAATGTCTGTTCCCACCTCTTATTGGAGGGAGGCAGTTCTTACTGCTGCCTATCTAATTAATCGGGTCCCATCTCGAGTGTTAGGTAATATTAGTCCTGCTCAATTTATGCTCTCACGTTTTCCCTTTGTTCCTATCTTACATAATCTTGAGTTTCGCGTGTTTGGTTGTGTTGCTTTTGTTCATGTTCACAAACAATATCGCAACAAGTTGGATCCCCGTGCTGTCAGATGTATCTTTCTGGGTTATGCACCCAATAAAAGAGGGTACAAATGTTATCATCCTCCGAGTCAGAAATTCTTTGTCTCCAAAGATGTCACCTTTCATGAAAATGTGCCATACTTCACTCATTCTCAGTCTCAGGGGGAGAACATGAGTGTCTTAGAGTCTAATTCCAAGTTTCTGATCCTTGGTCCTAGCCTCCCGAGAACACCTATCAGTGTTCCCTCTCTTGAACCCGAGTTGTCACCTAATTTGAGCTTGAGTCCTAGTTCAACACCTGAATCTGAGTCAGTAATTGTTCCTAGTCCTTCAATGCCTTATGTTCCACAGGAATCAGCACCTTCAGCACCAACTCTAGTGTATCAGAGAAGAAGTAAATCTGACCTTCTCCAGAAACAAATTCAATCATCTGAACCGGAGGTAAGTACTGAAAATGATTCCTCAAATGATAATTGTTCTATTTCTGATACTTGTGACACTAATCCAGTTGATTTACCCATTGCTTTGAGGAAGGATAAAAGATCTTGTCCCTCCGTATATCGACACCCTATCTCTCAATATGTCTTCACTAAACATCTTTCCAAACAATATCAAAGTTTTATTGCAGGTGTTGATTCTGTGAAAATCCCATTATCAGTTGAAGAAGCATTGCAAAATAGAAATTGGGTCCAAGATATGGATGAGGAAATTAGAGCACTTGAAAAAAATGGTACTTAGGAGATTATTGAAAGGCAAAGAGACAAAAAGTCGGTTGGATGCAAATGGATCTATACTGTAAAGTATAAATCTAATGGCACACTTGATCGGTACAAGGCAAGACTAGTGGCAAAAGGTTATACTCAGACATATGGTATTGATTATGAGGAGACATTTGCCCCAGTGGCAAAAATGAACACTGTTCAAATTTTACTATCTTTTGATGCTTCATATGGATGGGAATTGCAACAGTTTGATGTTAAAAATGCATTCTTGCATGGAGACTTAGAGGAAGAAGTGTATATGGAGATTCCACCGGGTGTTGGCATAACAAATGAAGCTAACAAGGTGTGTAAATTGAAGAAAGCCTTATATGGACTAAAGCAGTCCCCTCGGGCATGGTTTGAAAGATTCACAAAGGCAATGGTGTGTTTGGGCTATAAGCAAAGTCAAGGAGACCACACTTTATTTTTTAAACATTCACAGGAAGGAAAATTGACTGTACTTCTTGTTTATGTTGATGATATTATTGTTACAGGAGATGACTTGACTGAGAGACATTTGCTCAAAGAGAAATTATCGGCAGAGTTTGAGATGAAAGACCTTGGACAACTCAAGTATTTCTTGGGAATTGAGGTAGCCTACTCAAAGCAAGGCATCTTTATCTCTCAAAGGAAGTATGTACTTGATCTTTTGCAGGAAACTGGCAAACTTGGATGCAAACCTGCAAGTGTTTCCATTGAACAAAATCACAGGATAAGCTTTGAGGAGGAAAGTGACAAAGTTGACAAGGGTCAATATCAGAGATTAGTGGGAAAATTGATTTACTTGGCACACACTAGACCAGATTTAGCATATGCAGTCAGTTTGGTGAGCCAATTCATGCATGATTCGAGGGTGAGACATTTGCAGGCTGTAGACCGCGTTCTACAATATCTTAAAGCAACTCCAGGGAGAGGACTTTTGTTTAAAAGAGGTGAGAATTTAGCTATGAAGACTTACACTGATGCGGATTATGCCAGCTTAGTGAGTGACAGAAGATCTACGTCAGGCTATTGTACTTTTCTGTGTGGTAACCTTGTAGCTTGGAAGAGTAAGAAGCAAAGTGTAATTGCTCGATCAAGCGCCGAGGCAGAATTTAGAGCTATGGCACTAGGAATTTGTGAACTATTGTGGATGAAACAAGTTTTAGAAGACTTGAAGATACAATGTGAAGGCCTTATGGAATTGTTTTGTGACAATAAATCGGCTATTAGTATTGCTCATAATCTTGTTCAGCGTGACAGGACTAAACACATTGAGATTGACCGACATTTTATCAAAGAGAAGTTGGATAGTGGGTTGATAACTACATCTTACGTTCCTTTTGGGCATCAGCTCGCAAATGTGTTAACAAAAGGCTTACCAACAGAAAGATTCAGGTAACTTGCAAGTTGGGAATGATAGATATCCATTCACCAGCTTGAGGGGGAGTGTTGTAAATATTAGACTGTAAATAGTAATTAGTAGTATTAGTAATGAGGCCCATTAGTCAAAACCAATTAGGTTTTCTATTCTCTCTTATTTAAAACATGTAGTTGCAACATTGTAAGCAGAACTTTTAATTCCATCAGTGAAATATTTTACAACTTACAACATTAAATTCTCTTGAGAAAGAGTTCTGTTGCCCACTGTTTACCTCTCTAACTCGAAAGATTAGTTTCTGCAGTTGCGTACAGATGATATCATTTACTAACTAGATTCCTACCTCACAAGTTGCGTACAAATGATATTGTTTACTAACTAGATTCTTACATCACGAGTCTAGCAAAAGAATTCAAACTTGTGAAATTTAGGTTAAATTTATACCGACCGGGCCAACCTTAGGTTGACATTGTCTGTGATGACTTGTGAGTTGTATCAATGTCTCATGCTATATTTTGTCTGTCTTTATATTTAGAGGGAAAAAAATAAAGTCCTGAGTTTGAGTGTGTGGGACATGCAAATAAATGTGACCATTTCCGGTTTCAAAGTATGGTGGCTGTAAAGAATAATCCACTATGTTGTGTTTAGGTGATATTTGTTGCTACAGAACTACAGTTTATTATATGGATCCTATGACTATAAAATCTTTTAGAAAGCTACAAGGTCAAGAAAATCTATATAGTGAACACCATATTTATGTCTTTGCTATAGTGGGTGTGGAAGCAAGGTTCACTATCACATACTATTTGGATGCTAATGGCAAACAACATCGTTTTCCATCTTTACAAATTGTTACTGCAAATGAATACATTATCAGAAACAGATCTTCACTGAGGAAAAAATATAAGGCATTATCAGAAACATAATGAAACACTTTAATTTTCATCCATCGTTAGTAACTTTGAATACTATTTAGAAACAAGAAAGGGTCACATCATCATTATAGTTGCTTAGATATCTCACTGATAATGATACACTTCAAACTGTTTTCAAAACAAAGAACATCAATCTGCAACTGTTTAACAATTACAACAGAAAACCATTTTACTCGAATACGGAAATACTTCCATCCCATGAACATGAAGCAAAAACATTAGGCAAAACTGGGTGGAAGGCAATGTCCATGCATGCTTGGCCAAAGGCTTTTATTTTCTTAATTACTTTGGATGAGTGATAATCATATAGGTAAATAGATCCATCTGAAGAGCCTGATGCAAGCTTTTTTCCATCCAAGCTGAAATTGCACTTAATATGGAATCCAGAAACCCCATGATTCTCGTATCTCTTATATTTGTTGAGTCTGTATGGGGGTGTTGAACTAAAGATTGCGACATAATTACCGTTTGATTGAGCAACAAAAACTGGATCAAAGGGATGGGACCTAACGCAAGGACAAGTGTAAGCTTCCACATATACCTGATTCAGAAGCAGAAGAACATGTTAATTAAAATTTAAACTTACACTCTTAACAAAGTATATTAGGGTCATTTTAATTTTCAAAGATGTGTTCTCCAAAATGAAAAATGAACATAGCACCTATGGCGCTTGTGACTTGAGCTTTATCTCAGCATTATTGTTTGCTAGTCTTTAGAAAAGGTGAAAAATGATCTTTTATAATATTTGTTATTACTGCAGAACATGTTTGTATTTCACAATTATTAATCTTGTGAATTCTGCATTAATATTTCTACCTCGCACTAATCAACAAATCTCAATATTTTGCCAGAAGACAAAATCCCTTCAGAAAAGACAAGTTTAGATGTAAAAATATTGTAGATTACTAGATTAATTTCATATATGTAGGCATGAAAAGGATTTAATTGATATGCACGGACAGTGGAAAGATATTTTATATGCACTAACAGTGTAAAGATATTTTACACAATAAGTTAATCATAGACATTAGATTTTTTAAGGGTTTGACTTTTACTTTAATTATATTTAAAATATTACTTATGAATGGCTGTGTACACTGACCATGTAAAATTTTATACAGTGACTATGCATAGCAATTAACCTCATGTGAAAATTATAGTAGTGTACAATATAAGCACAGGCATTTCACACAATAGAAGGTGTTCTTGAGTAAAGAAGCATAAGCAGCGGCGAGACAGAAGTCACTGCTTGGGATTTTTAAGAGGGGAGAGAAAGACTTTGACTAAAGGAAGGAGTAAAGAGAAAACATAAGTTGCAAAAGTTACAAGTTTCCGATCTCTAGATATGTTAGCAGTTCATTACCTCAATTAATGGCACATTTGTTTGTTTTTCGTTTCTGCTATAGAAGAAATCAAAAATTATTTGATTCTATCTTAGGAAGCTAAATTATGAAGCATCTAAATAGTAATTGCTTTCAGTACAGCATGATATCAACTAATAATATTTAGAAAATCTATTCCCTTTGGTGTTAGTTAGTTCCCGTGATTTGTGTTGCCTTGCTTCCATTGCAGAACTGTCTTTGGGTTGTATCTTGGTTTTTTAGCACCTTCAATGTGCTTCTAATCATTGGTGCCACGCAGAATCACCAAAAGCTCCTGCCATTGCTATCGTCAACTTCCATTAACAAAACCAGTCTTCCAATTAACAATCATGTTCAGAAGCTCACTGTCTAGAGATCGGCTGAAACCTATAAGTTCATAGCGCAGTTCCAACCACATGTTCATCACGCATAGGGGTGCCAAACGGGCATGCCCTCCCAGTTTATGTCCGCCCTACCAAAGTCTGTAATAAAATGGGGTGGAAGGGAGCTGGCATTGTAGAGGGAACGGATTTGAAACCTTGGCCAGCTCTGCAAAAACTTGAGGGCGGGGCGATGCAGGCCCGCGGACACTGCACCTTTAAAGTCTAAAAATTACAAAAATTTATGTTAATGCCGACGCCCGCAAAAGCCCGGGAAAAAAACGGGGTGAGCATATTCGAGGATGCGGACCTAAAACCTTAGCTGTCCCACAAAAAAGTACGGGCAAAACGGGCATGCCTGACGGGTCGGACCGGTTTGGCCTTAGACTGCCATTATTGGTTCCTGACTTAGTACAATGGCCTCTGGTTCAGAAATTAATTGTCTTGTTTTTCTTGGGGTACCTTGAAACCCTAGAGGAAAAGTCTTTTTTATTCCTTGTTACTGTCTTGTGCTGCTGTCTTTCCTCTTTTTGTGATTGGAACTTACGAAATACATACATAAACATGGACTTTGGACATAACACTAATAAGGATAATGTCTAAAATAAAGGACACTCAGAAATGGTGCGTATATGGAGCATGTAGCACAAGACAATTCTATGTATATTTATATGGTCAAAGATTATTTCCTTAGGTACTGATAGAACTTACAAAAAATGTTGATAATAGAATAGTTTTATTAAATGGAATAAGGGGGTACAAAGGCTGTTACAATAATAATCAGAGCTAAAAGCTCCTTCCAGAGAAATACTTCTCCTAACTAACTATTAACAATAAATGTGAATGACTCCCCCTTACTCTCTCCAGTCACAATATATTCTCATTCTCTAACCAACTTGTCAAAATCCTGAATTGTTATGGAATGCTTTAGTGAAATTCCACTCAGCTGATTTGTTTATATACACACACTAGAAATTAAATACAATGCGAGAGTTACAAGGACATTAATGTAGTTTCTAGTTCCTAAGTACATGAATGTGATTCACTAAGCATTTAACTAGTTATTAATCTCCTAAACATATTCTAATTTATTTTATAATTCCAACACTCCCATTCAAGATGGAGCATATAAATCAAATGCTCCACGCTTGGAACAAATATTTTGATTCAGCGGCCCCCTTAAAGATTTTGTGAAAATATTTCCTAGTTGATCATTAGAACTAACAGATTCGGTGACAACTTTAAAAGCTATATGTAGCATTGTCTGGTTATCACAACAAAGATTCATTTGTTGAGTATCTCCAAATTTCAATTGATGAAGTTGTTTAATTCAAATGAGCTCACACGTGGCTACAGCCATAGCTCTATATTCAGCCTCTACACTTGACCTTGCAACCACATTTTACTTCTTGCTTTTCCATTATATAAGATTTCCTCCAATAAACACACAATACCCTGAAGTAAAATGCCAATCAATTGGTGATCCTGTCCAATCTGCATCGCAAAATCCGACTATTTGAGTGCTTTTGTTGTCTTCATAAAGCAATCCTAGTCCCGGTTTTCTTTTAACGTACCTTAGAATTCAAATTACTGCATCCCAATGATCCTTATGAGGAGATTGCATGAATTGACTTGCCACTCCAACTACAAAAGAAACATCCAACCTAGTAATAATAAGGTAGATGAGTTTTTCAACCAATCTTCAGCATCTTTCAGAATCAGAATAAGGCTTCCCCTGGTTGGGTAGTAATTTCTAATTTGGATCCATAGGACTATCATCTGGTTTTACAATCCAACATACTAGTTTCTTTGAGTATCTCTAATGCATAATTCCTTTGTGAAATAATAATCCCATTCTTTGACTGAGCAATTTCAATTCCAAGAAAATATTTCAACCTTCCTAGATCCTTGGTTTGAAAATGTCTGAATAAATATGCTCCTTCAGTTGAGAAATTTTTCGCTGATTTCCAGTGATGACTATATCGTCTACATAAACCACCAAATAAACGTATTGCAATAGAAGACTAAATGATCTACTTCGCTACATTTCGTTCCAAAAGCCTGAACAATTGAGCTTGTGGGGACTGTTTAAGTCCATAGAGAGAGCGTCATAGTTTGCAAACCAAGCCAGACTCCCCCTGAGCAACAAATTCAGGTGGTTGCTCCATTATAAATTTCCTCTTCTAAATCTCCATCTCCATGTAAAAATGTATTTTTAATATCTAACTGATGCAGTGGCCAATGACATATGGCAACTATGGCTAGAAATAAACGAACAGAGGTGATTTTTGCCACAGGGGAGAAAGTATCACACCATACTCAAGGTCATAAATCTTGGTATAACCTTTGGCCACTAAACGAACTTTGAGCCGATCAATTTGTCCATTAGGCCCAAATTTAACGGCGTAGATTAGACCCATTGACATCCAACATGTTTCTTGCCCAGAGGAAAAGGGACTAGATCCCAAGTATTATTATGCACCAAAGTTTGCATTTCATCAATAATGACATGTCGCCACCAAGTATTATTATGCATCAAAGTTTGCATTTCATCAATCATGACATGTCGCAATCCTGGATGATCAAGTGCCTCACAAACATTTTTTAGGAATGGAAATAGAAAATAAAGATGCTATAAAAGAAAAATAAGATGGAGAGAGATGATGATAACTTAAGAAGTTATAAATAGGATGAGGCTTTCGAGTTGATCAAGTACCTTTCCTATTCACTTCCTCTCCTTGATCCTTCTATCGTCTACGGGTGTAAGCCCTACAAATAGCAGGTTTGGGCCTTGCTTCAGCAGCCTCTTAGTCGCAGGGCCCAAGTGCTCTATCACTCGTACACTTCCTAAATACATACATTGGTAGGGGACGTAGGTAAAGGAACAACATCCTAGGTGTGTGGGAGATCTTAACATTTACAAATTTAAACTATGTAGAAGATATTAGAATAATATAACAGATAGACACACACAAGGCCTAACCTACTCAATCCCTTAGATTAGGGGACAGAATCAATTAAAAAGGGATAGAATAGAATTTTAACAGGTTACCAAAAAAAGAATTCAAACAAACAAGATAATATCTTAACAATATTAAGAACAACATAATAAAGTGATTCATATATTGAACATTAATTCTGATCTAGTCACAATCCAGTCATGGTTGGGCCATGAAATCTTGAATGAGTTAATTTTTTGATTCAATTATTAGTCTGGTTTTAATTTTAACTTATAAACCATGACCAGAACTTGGAAGTTATGATGTCTTTTGCTAGGCTATTTGCATTATCCAATCCTCTCTGGAACGTTATGTCATTATAAAAAAAGCAGTTAATACTAATCAATATTTGCAGTGCACCTAAACTAATGATAAGCAACCTTCAGAACAATTTGAGTTAGCTCACCTGATTAGACAACGGGACCTGTCTCGAGACATCCCAAACGATAATAGAATTCTCACTGATATTGCTGCCAGATACATCACTAGAAGAAATGAATTGCTTCCCATTCGTTGTAAACTCAACATCTAGAATGGAACTTAAATTCCGTTTATAGTTATGCACAACTTTTCCAGTTCTGATATCCCATAGTTTGATATGCCCCTTAGATCCCCCAGAAAGGAAGAGATTTGAATTGTTTGGGTGGAACTTTATAACTCCAACCATTTGATCTTCTCTGAAAACCTGAGTTTCCATCTCTTTTTCAACATCAACCAACCTTGATGTGCAATCATATCCACAAGAAAGCAAGAAGTTCCCTTGTTGAGACCATTTCACATCTTTCACAGCGGCATTGTGGAAGTTTAGCACACATGCTTTCTTCTTATCTCTGCTCCATACGTTCCATATGCATACCATATTGTCCATCCCAGCAGATGCAAGGAGGTGAGCTGCAAGGTAACTACAATGAACATATCATTACTAATAACAGATACAGCAAGGATATCTCTCTTGCTCTGGGCTATCCTCTACTCCATATGTAGCTGTGTGATACTTATAAATATTATGATTTTATATTTGGAATAAATATAGGCTTTAAATAAAAATATATGATAAAATACTTTCACCTTTGAGAAACAGAGTAAGAAAACTATTATTTCTGAATAGTAAGTTATATATAAACAACAGAAACAACAATCAATCAAAGAGAATTTACCGTGAGTTGATGACCAATGTATAGCATTGACAGCTCTTGTATGTCCAGATAGAGATGCAGATAGCTTTTCAGATACCGAGTTTAGGTTTTTATGACCCTTTGCGTCACTTTTCAACAATGCTAAAATGTTATGGGGTATATCAGCCTCCAAGATACTCCCTATGTTGATGAGCAAGAAAAAGGTCAGATTGGTTGTGTCTGTGTTAGGAACTCAATAAATAATAAAGTACAACAGCAGTAACAAATTGATAATGAAGGAGAGGACTTGTATTATTGAGGATTCTTGATATTTGATATTTGTAAATATAGTGTTAAGAATATTTGTATATAGAATAGTCTCATCTCAACTATATCATGTAATTAGTTGTAATTTATCTATATTTAATAATGTCTCCGTAGTACTTTTCAAAACACACGGTTTAATTTAAATGTCTCTTAGTCTCGCTTAATTCAACATGGTATCTAGAACCTACTAAGAGACAATTCTTTCTTCGTCGTGCTTTACCAGGTTGACCCACTGTCTTCCGGTGAGATAGATACATACATACATACATGCATGCATGCATGCATGCATACATACATACATGCATACATACATACATACATGCATACATGCATACATACATACATACATATATATATACATATATATATATATATATATATATATATATATATATATATATATAAGATTTCGTTTGTGTTCTGGCGATTTCTGATGTGAATTCGGCGGGTCGTCCCCCCTTCCTACGGGTTCCCCCACCAGAGCCCGCTTACGGCACGCATGACGCATGGTTACAACCTTTGCCTTAGCGTACAGCGACTTATATAGAAAGCATGAACCACCTCGAACTCACTCGATCGATGGTTCATGGTTCTACGTAATTAGTAGGATCGAGTTTCTACTCCAATCTAAGGTTTTTAGGGTTGTGAACTCAAGAGTACCGGTACGAGTTCTTTGAGTAAGGAACTGGTAGCTTTTACTTATGTCAATGAGTGAGAACAGTAGTAGTAGATTGAGTTATATATATATCATTCTCTCCCTGCACTGTGACTCTTGAACCCAGCACCTTATTAGGATATACATCATTCTCCTCGATCACCTCCAAATCTTTTGGTAACTCTCCCTGTACTTGATAGTTCCCAACAGCTTTCTTGAGTAATGAAACATGAAAGACTGGGTGAATCTTAGATGTTGCTGGCAGTTTCAACCTGTAAGCCACTTCACCAATTTTTTCCGCCACTTGGAACGGTCCATAAAATCTTGCAGCGAGTTTCTGATGAATCCTTTTCACCACTGACTGTTGTCTATGAGGTCTGAGTTTCAGAAAAACCCATTCACCAACTTCAAAACACAAGTCCCTCCTCTTCATGTTAGCATACCTTGACATTTGTTCCTGCGCCTTGAGCAAATGAAGTTTGAGTTGGTTTAGAGCCTCATCTCTTTCACTCAATTCCAATGCCACGGCAGCTACTTTCGTCTCATTAGACAGAAATCTCAGCAATGCAGGAGGTTGTCTCCCAGAAACTACCTCGAACGGAGTCTTCCCAATAGATACATGAAAGGTAGTGTTGTACCAATACTCCGCCCACGAGACCCACAATGACCAAGTCTTTGGATGATCAGAAGCAAAACACCGCAAATAACTTTCCAAGCACCTGTTAACCACTTCCGTTTGACCATCTGTTTTCGGGTGGTATGCTGAACTCATTTTCAGTTTCGTTCCCTGCAACTTGAACAACTCCATCCAGAAATGACTCACAAATAAAGGGTCACGATCACTAATTATAGAGCTTGGAATTCCATGAAGTCTCACCACTTCTTTGACAAAGAGTTCAGCAATGGATTTAGCAGTATACGGATGTTTGAGTAAAACAAAATGACTATACTTGGATAGTCTATCCACTACCACTAACACAGCCTCATAACCTTTAGACTTAGGCAACCCAGTGATAAAGTCTAAGGACAAGTCCTCCCACACACCATTAGGAATAGGTAAAGGCTGTAACAAACCACCAGGAGTCATAGCACTGTACTTTTGTCTCTGACAAACATCACAGGATCTGACATAATCCCTTACACTCCTCTGCATTCCCACCCAATATAAGGAATCTGCCAGTTTGCGGTATGTTCTTAGAAAACCTGAGTGCCCTCCAGCAGGAGTATTGTGAAATTCTTCCAATAGCCAAGGGATAGAGGGTGATTCGGGGGAAATCACCAGCCTGCCATGATAAAGTAAAACTCCTTGTTGCACCTGAAACCCAGGTCTAAGCTCAGGAGACTCCTGCACTTCTTTCATTAACCTTTGAATGTACGGGTCATTTTTTATTTCAGTCAAAAGTTTCTGTCTATCAGCCCACAAAGGAAAAGAAATGATAGAATTCATTTCTATTTCACCATGACATCTAGACAGAGCATCAGCGACTCTATTTTCTAGGCCAGGCTTGTACTTGACTTCAAATTGATAGCCTAGAAGTTTGGCCAACCAGCACTGCTGATCTGGAGATGAAATTCTCTGCTGCAAAAAATGTTTCAAGCTCTTATGATCTGTATGCACAATAAATTCTCTGCCCAATAAATAATGTCTCCAATGCTGAATACACAGCACAAGGGCCATTAGTTCCTTCTCATAAACAGATTTTGCCAGATTCCCATCAGATAAAGCTTTACTGAAGAAAGCAATAGGTTGCCTCTGCTGCATTAGAACAGCCCCTATACCCCTGCCAGCCGCATCACACTTAACCTCAAAGGGTAACTCGAAATTTGGAAGGATTAGCACAGGAGGAGAAGTCATGATCCTCTTCATTTCCTCAAAAGCCTTGGCAGCTTCTATTCCCCAAGAAAAATTGTCTTTCTTAGTCAAGTCAGTGAGAGGTTTTGCTATTTTACCATAATCCCGGATGAACTTTCTATAATACCCTGTGAGTCCCAAAAAACCACGTACCCCCTTCACGTTTTTTGGCGTAGGCCACGCAAGAATACACTTCACCTTCTCGGGGTCCACTGCCACACCCTCACCAGAAATGATATGGCCAAGGTAATCAATTTGTGCGCACCCAAACCTACACTTTGCTTGGTTTGCCACAAAACAATGATCCACTAAAACCGACAAAACCATCTTCAAATGCCTTTGGTGTTCCTTGATATCTCTACTGTAAATCAAAATATCGTCAAAAAACACCAAGACAAACTTTCTCAAATATGGTCTAAAAATGTCATTCATGGTAGCTTGGAAGATAGCCAGGGCATTCATCAGTCCAAACGGCATGACCAAATACTCATAGTGGCCATTATGTGTTCTAAATGCCATTTTAGGGATGTCATCCTCATGCACTCTGATTTGATGATATCCAGATTTTAGATTTTAGAAAACATAGTAGCTCCATATAATTCATCTAACAGCTCATCGACTATAGGAATTGGGTACTTATCTAGTATTGTAGCTTTATTTAAGGACTGATAATCTACACACATTCGCCAGCTCTTATCTTTCTTCTTGACTAGTATCACAGGGCTTGAAAAAGAACTCATACTTGGACGAATGACTCCTGCTCTCAACAGTTCTGACACCTGCTTCTCAATCTCTTCTTTTTGGTGGTGAGGATACCTATAGGGTCTGACATTAATAGCACCATGGTCCGGATAAAGTTTAATTCGATGCACCTGACTCCTCTCAGGAGGTAGCTGAATGCTGTCTCCAAACACTGCCTGGAATTCTTCTAGTATCGGCTTTAGGCCCTTGGGAATCACTGATTTAGTTACTTCTATTGACTGTAAATAAGCCCACCACCAACCCAGCTCACTTCTGCTATGAGTGTTCTCAAGGTAAGAGTTTAGATATCCTTTGCTTCCTTGACCTTGCAATTTTACCAACTCATTTTCATAAGAAAATTGCATAGTCATGGCCTTCCAATCCATCATCACCTTCCCAAGAGTACTTAACCACGCAACTCCTAACACCATATCCATTCCTCCTAACTCCAACACCAGCGCATCCACAGTCACTTCAATCCCTCCCAGCTTCATGTTGATCCCTTTACACACTCCACTTGTTATCACTTTATGACCGTCACCAAGTTTGATACTCTTAGCTGTTGTAGGTGTGATAGCAAGACCCAAAGCAGTAGTCACTTTGGGAGAAATGAAGTTGTGACTCGCACCACTATCAATCAGCACTAATAGGTCTACATTCTGTATCTTCCCTTCAACCTTCATAGTGTGAGATTCACCCATGCTTCCCAATACCCCCATCAGTTTACATTCCACCTCCACTTCTTCTTCACTTTCCACCGTCACGTCTTCCATGCTCACAATTTCCCCTTCTTCTGTCATAGTTTCACCCTCTCCTAAGATTAAAACCCTAAGAGCTATTTCCGGACATTTATGTAACGTAGGGTGGTATTTTCCTCCACATTTGAAACATAGACCCTTCGCTCTCCTCTCTTCAAATTCATCATTGTGGAGACTTCGTACTCCCTTCCATCTCTCCGCCGCGCCGGAACGTGACCCCCCTTCGTTTTTGCGAGCTGAGGAAACCAAAGACGACGTTGAATTCACGTTGGATCCAGTCGAACCCGTTTTCTGACTCAGGTTTGACCCACCCGCCTGAGACGGATGATTTGCATCCTTGGGCTGAAACCCACTTTTACTCCTTAATGACCCGGCCCAATCCTTCTGGCCCACACGCTCGTACCCCCCTATTTTCACATCACGACGCTCACCATCATCGTCGTCCTTCTTCGATTCCTCTTCAACATCCTTCGCAATCCTCATCATTTCCATCCTATTTCGGGGATTCAGAGTACGCACCCTCCTTCGAATCTGGGGTTTCAATCCACTCATAAAATATCCCAAATACTGTTCTTCAGGAAGCCTGCCAACTTGTGATGACAACAGCTCAAAGGCTTCGACGAAGTCCTCCACACTTCCCTTTTGTTTCAACGTCGCAAGCTCCTCGAACGGATTCTCCAGACGACGTCCGCCATAACGAGCAATTAACGCTCGCTTCAGCTTTTCCCATGACAACTCATCTTCCGTCTCCATCAACAGGTTGAACCAATGAATGGTTGAACCTTCCATGCTCAAGCGAGCCAACTTCACACGCATATCATCTGATGTGTTCTGAACATCAAAATAAATTTCGGCCCGTGTAATCCAA